TCTTTTCCCACACACAGAACATATTTTCCTACTACAAATTTTAACAAAATGAGTGGTGCTACTACAAATTTTAACTCAAGGAGATACTACATTGGTTATCATTAATTAAGGAAACATAAAAAAATGACGATTACTCAAAATGTTACATGTAGAATTTAATGCAACTGACTCACAATATGCAACACACTATAAGGTATCAAATAACGTGAAAAGAAATTGCCAGACAATCATGGAGTTATAGAAATTAGCATATGTATGAAATGAACAAGTCGGATGTGTCAGTTTGGTATAGTAACAATACGTTCAGTATGGATTATGATCTGCCCTATGAGCAATACAGCACATTCAGAAATGAGCGATGCTGTCAATAATGCAGTCTATCAGTTCTGTAGAAAGTGAGAGCCATTCTTATTCCAAAGCAATTGCAATCGTAGCTAGGGTCTGAATAGGAGTATTAAAAGCATCTATACGTCTTCCTAAAGCTTACCAAACATGCTTGAGAGGATTCAGGTCGTATGATCGAGCTGGCCACTCCATGCGCTGAGTTGTTTGCTACTGAAGATAATCATCCACGATGTGAGCCCTGTTCGGTCTATAGTTGCCTTACAGCAGGAAATTATCACCTACTTCCCCGGCATAAGGGGGCACATACGCATCAGGAATTTCATCTCTGTAGGACTGAGCATTCATGGTTCTACGTGGAAAGAATGGAAGTCTGTGCGTCCACTCAAAGAGATACTACTCCAAAAACAGACCACTGCCTCCTACGTATGCACCTCTTTCGCGTATGTTTGATGGCTGATAAAGGGTTCTAAGTTCTCTTCAAGTCAAATAACGCCTTCCATCCATGTGGATGCTAATTCTGGACTCATCCATAAAGGAAACAGCCCGTATTGATTAGTATTAATAGTTATCCAGTGGACATATTGACGTGCCTACCTCAACGTTCCCTTCTATGACATGATGTAAGGGGCATGTAAATGGACGGCCGCCTCGCGCCTTCGTGAAGCCTTCTACTTACGATTAACGTTGACACCAACCTTCCAGTGCCTGAGCTAGTGAGGATCTGAGTTAAATCTGAGTTGAAGTTCTATTCCTTCGTGAGCATAACAACAAACATCGGTTATCAGCACTTGTCGTAGAGGTTGGCCTTCCTTGGCTGAACCTCTTGGATGCCGAGTTTGAAGTAAGAAATTGTCACCAAAGTCTATGAACCACAGAAGGACTCACGTTCAGCCACCTGGCAATGCAGACACGTTGCATCGGATAGTAATCCTTCAGATCTGATTTCAAGTGGAAACGAACCTGACAAACTTTTCATTGTAATCTGAGGTTTTGCATACCTCGGTTCTTTAATACTCAAGAATACTCTAACATAGATATTCCGGATGCCGTGATCCAAAAAGACTTTTCTAGTCAACGTAAAACTGAATAATGCTGATTCTTGCTTAAAATTATTTAGTATTATTAGTAATATATTTTATCTAATTTTACTGCTACAAGTAATAGTTATTCTTAAATTGTTCAAGTTTCAAGCTTTATTTATAAATTTTGAGGAATTTTCAAAAAAGGCAAAGGTTAACAGGAACATAGGAAATTAAAAAATTGGAGACCATATTAATTAAATTAATACAGAAGCAATCATTTCTGAGTGAAATCTGTTGCATTCGTAAAAACGGGGTTGTAAGTTCAAATAGTTAAGTAATTTGCATCTATTCACTGATGAAGATGGATTGCTGAAAGTACGCGGAAGACTTAAACAACGTGATAGAAGTTATGTTAAAAACCTCCCAATTCTTCTACCATTCAATCATAAGCTAACGAAAATTATAGTTGAATATTAGCATGTAAAATATTTACATAGTGAATTGTTTTGAATAATGGATCCCTTCGACTATGCCAGTCCGACAATTTTATAAAGATACGAGCTGCTTTATGAAAATTTAGCCTTTTTATAAGAGCGCCGAACCTTTATTTCATCCTCTGCTTAGGGAATTATTCAGTAATTTAAAAAGAAAATCGTACCTGCATAAAGGTATGCGCACCTTTATGGAAAACGCCTGTTTCGCATAAGGATGCCCACTGTCAGTTTCCAAGCGAGAAAGTAACCTTCAGTTTGTGTACGTCGTGTTATTCCACGGCACCGTTATGAAGATTTATGCCTTTCTGGAACAGCAGTCGACTTGCATAAAGGTGTGGCACTGTCAGGCCTCCCATTTTGAACTTGTTTGGCGACTTCAATTTAAAATTTTCACGATAAAATTTTCACGATATTTCCCATGTTTCCTTATATAAAGAGCTGTGATTTTGACAATTCGATAATAATTTCTGAATTATAACATCAACCGCGATCACATTAAGCGATGTTTACTGTAACATGCTTGTCGAATTTTAGGTATCGCAGAGATTATGTTCAACATGCTTAAAAGCCTCTGTAGGATTTAAATATCTTCCTACGTACTCCTCAATTTACTTTATTCTTGATATCGCTGATAATATTTTTATAAATTATTAACATTAATATAAAGTGTAAAATTCTGTAAGCCTGATAAACAGTTTTTGTATACACATGTATTATTTACATAAATAATTTATTAAATTAACACATAGTCGTTATTTAAATCATTTAAAATCAAAGAAAATATGTAAATGAAATCTTTCATTAAAATTAACGGCTACGTAATTGTAACTCATTTGGATAGCTCATTGCAACCGGGGGTATTTCTTTAATCAGAAAATTCGTTATTTTCCCTCCCCCATATATTTCGAGATAACATTTGATTGCATCTCCATCAATTTTTGCTCTGATTTGCATTTCAGTTTTGTCAACTTTGATTTAACCTATATTTAAAAAGAGCTTCAAGTAATCCTTTTATGGTATTTTTATTATAAAATCTCTATTCTTCCTTTTCCTGTAATTACTTTCTTTTTCTACAGCTATTTCATACTGGAAATTAACCAAACCGTTCTCAATCAGTTCACTTTCTACGATATTCACTTATTTTTCTACATCCACTGTACGGATACCTAGATTTTGCGTAGAGCAATTTAAACAACATCTTTGCTAATTTTTTTCCATGATACCATGCTCATTATACTCTTCCAGTGTTTTGTGAGACAACAACATTTCTTTTCAACGAAGTCCTCGCCCACACGTTGAAGTTATTTCAGTGAGGTACTAATTCTTTGCAAAGATAAACAAATATCGCAACTTTCCTTTTTTTTTTATTCTTTCAATTTCCCAAAAATTGAGTGATGCAATAGAGTCCTTGTTTCAGGAAATATAGTTCTTAGATAATAAATACTTGAATTTAGCATTCGAACTTTGATCCATGTGTTAAATCACAATTGTTCGGATTAATAGATATATCGCACTTGTATTTTTGCCCAAGTCTCGTATGATCAGGATGACCTGCAGCATTGAGCAATAAATTAATTTTAAAAGAAAGGTATTTTAAGGTTGTAGGCAAGTACATCTGAAATAAAACAATTTAAGAGCAAGTCGTCAAATAAAACAGCTATCATCCAATTCTTGGAATAACGCCTGAAGTAATACGAAAATTTATCCTTCTCAGTACTTTTAAAAGCTATGGTTTTTTTTTTTTTTTTTTTTTTTTTTTTTTTTTTTTTTTTTTTCTTCTTCTGTGAACGGTAAATAAAAAATAGTTTTCTTTTAAAACCAGTATAATATGCTTGCAAGAAGAAGCATAATCTTATCTTTAAGATTCGATGCACTTTGTAGACATAAGCGAATTTTCTCATTCTCTTCCAGGGCAGTCCGGATGCATCTACATTAAATATAATTTCTACAAAATAAACTTCATCTTTTATTATTTCTTTTTAGAACTAGACTCTTCTCTTGTTACACACACATTATGTAAATTTTATCAACTAAATTCAATAAAACTAACTTTAATAGCGTTAAATGTTTTCTTGCCGTGTTTACAATCTCGTCAATTTTTTAAATTATCAGATAGACTGCTTGCGTTTATTTGCTTTGTTAGTAAATTCCTAAGATTATTCCTATTAATGTGATGATCTATTCACATAATTGACAGCATTTCCATATCATGAATCAGGCCTTTTCTTTATTTTGTCAAAATTGAACATCATAATAAATGCCCACTGTATGCTTAATTACTTCCTTTATTCTAGACTTATATTTTATTGTCATTTAAGTAGTTGAATATGACAGCTTTCTTAGATAGCTACTTCCCTGAATTTTTTCCATTCATTTTTATAATCTTTATTTTAAAACTTAAATTTATGTATTTTATCATATTTTTTATTACGATAGAATTTTCATAAATATTATTTTGTTTATTAGTCATCAAGATGAAATATAACCAAGACTTACGCATTCTATAATGACTCAGAAAATACTAGAGGAACACAGAATAAAAAAATAGGAATCTTCGGTCCTTAGCAGCTGCTAATGAACTTCGTTTAACACTTTTTTGTCACTACGCCTACAAAATTCACTGCTATGTTAATTCTTTTTCCTTATTTGCTTATTGTGGTAAGCAGTTGAGTACTCTAAAATTGTAAAATAATTGCATAATGCCTTTCTGCAAATATTTTATCAATTTATATTGCAATATTAATATTAATTTATATTGCAATATTATTACTGCAAATATTATTTATTTTTATCACAGCAATCAAATGACAAAAAATAAACAACATCCACAAATATCACTTAGGGCATTTTGTAGGCGAAGCGATGCTTAACAGTGGGGCTACTTTGCGTCTTAAAAAGCTATGCATGTGTGTACATGCTGGCGGCAGACTTGATATTTAGTCTTAGTTTCTGGTCATCGTAAAAGCAAGTCGTCACACGCCGGGCTGTTGAGTGAAGAACTAGCCATATTTATATGTTTATCATGCTAACCAAAGATTGGCGACTGTTCAAAATTCATACACTAAAAGAAAGCATCTCAAAGATACAGAAGAGAGATTTTTCTAATAATTAGTAGTACCACTTATTAATTTTATCTCACCTGGATTAACATCTATCGGTAACTGTGTTATGTTTCTCCTTTTTTCTGGGTGATCTTGGATGTAGAAATTAACCAAAGCTTTCCTTCTGCCATCAATGGCAATTCCTATTATTTGGTCTGAACCCACTCGTAAAGAATTTGGTGCAGTTATGTAAAAAGACCTAAAAATAAACAACAGAATGAGATAAAATATTTAAGAAATCTACCCTCTTTCTTTCACGAAATCCTTCTTTCAACATAAAGAAATATTGTAAAGGTACACAACTTTTTCTGAGAAGCTTTTAATATTTAGTACTTTTTTTCAAAGTACTAAAAATTAAAAAGCACAGCTAGCATAGGCATACGCGTACAGCATACACACACACACACAAATATGTACAGATAAATATATCTTTTGTGCATATATACACTAAACAGGCATTACATTAGGACCACCCTGTTAATAACATATAGGACCAACTTTAGCCTTCAAAACTGCCAGCACCCGACATGGCATTGACTCCACAAGATGCTAATATATAGTTGGAGGCGATATATTAGCACATGCCCGTCGATATGATGGGCCAGAAAACGTGATTCGTCGGACCATGCAACTTTCTTCCATTTTTCTAATGTCCAATTCCTGTGCTTCTTGGCCCATTGCAGACGCAGCTGACGATGGCGTGCCGTCAGTGCAGGGACATGCTTCGGCCTTCGGCTGCGTAGGCACATACGCAGCAATGTACGCTGCACCGTTTATTGAGTTTGTCTGGGTCGCCACTGCTGTAGCTGTGGTGATTTCGGCTATTGCAGCTCTTTGGTCACAGCAAACAATACACAGCAATCTCCGCTCTTCTCTGGAATAAATGCGCTATCGACGACACACTGCTGGTGGGTGACTTGTCGTTTCACGATCCATACACCCTTTCGATATGTGCTCACAACAACTGCACGCGAACAGCCCACTAAACGCGCCGTTTCTGATATTGATGTCCCAGTCGCCGAGCCATAATAATTTGATTTTTATCGAAGTCTGATAAATCAGCTGCTTATCCCATTATCCCATTAAGTCACTAATCGCGCTTTGTTTGGAAAGACAATGCGCTTTATATACTCCAACATCAACCGCGCACGCGCAGTGGTTTTGTTCCTGGATGAACACATTATTATAGATGGAAGGTGGTCATAATGTAATGGCTCTTCGGTATATATATATATATATAAAAGTAGGCAAAAATACAAAAAGTCGTAGGTTAAAAATGCGGTATTTAAATATTGCTTTTTGTGACTGTTTTTTGTTATCAAAGCAAGTCCACGAAATTCTTCGTGACAAGCAGGCAAGATTGCGCCTATAGTTGGCAAAAGGCTTGGACACTAAAGATTAGTGACTTAATGGGAAGTAAAGCGTAAAGGTGACAAACGGCTTTGCTTAGTTCCGCCACTAATTTTGAAGAACAGCACACCGTGGGGATAGGTCCGAGGTTCTCCGACACCTCTTTCCCTACCCTGAACCTCTCAAGAGGACTTTCGGCTTGCCGCATATTTAGAGTGTCCCCATGCCGCACATGAAAACATCTATGCCTTCTCTGGAATTCAAACCTGGGCTCTTCAGTATGGCAGACAGTGTCGCTAACCACTATCCCGGTTGGGCGGCAGATACTTACATGTTATTACAACCACCTTAGTGGAAATCGGCAAATTTTCAGAATGTGCAAACTCTTGCAACTATGCACATAAACATTCTTCAGGCAGATAACGCAGTTTTTCAGAAAAACCAGTGGAACTTGGAAATACATCAAAAGCGTTCTTTTTGTTGTATTCCAAGTTCCACTGGTTTTGATATACATATCGTGACATCATGTTTTGCCTTCAAATCTATTTTAAATTATCGGTTGTGGAATTTTCCAATAATGGAAGAAACTGCTGTAAAAGTTCAGCAAAAATACAATATTTCGAGAAAATTGCTAAAGGAAACAATCATGAGGAGAGTTCGATAAGAAGCCAATGCGCATGGCCAAGTTTGTGCAATTCTCTGATGTATTTTTAAGCGAGAAGAGATCACGATGTATATGGGTAGAAGAACAACGCCAAAAATTTACAGAAAGACTTCGCGAAAATTTCAAGTATTTTGTTTTTTAATGTAACATATAGTTCATATCTAATTATTAAAATTTGTATTTTAAATTGCTAAAATATATTTACTTTTCATGTGTTGATGTCTACCAACTAACAATAAATAACGATAGTTAGAGAATCTTCCTAAAAAAACTCGCGAAAATTGCAAATTTGCACCCGATGAGTAAATTTTACCTTTCCATCTGTAACAAATCGCTAAATTACACGAAGGTGGTTGCGTTAATACGTAAGTACCAAAATGTTTAAATGCTTTTAAAAGCGACGCTGGCTTCGCGTTAAAAATTTCAGTGCTGTTTATTGACTCTTGAAGGTTTTACGAAATATTTAATAATGTGATGATGGCTATCAAATAAGAATTAAATTATTTTAAATATAGAAGATGATAATTGAAGCTCCAGTTATTAGGTATAGCATTTCGAAAGTTGTTGAAACTTAAAATACCTCGCTTCATACCGTATTATAACGAAGCATATGAGATAAATGATCACTGCCATATGAGATAAATGATATTATACAAACTGATTGCTGCAGTCAATGAAGAATGCGCGAGAGATGTGTCTATGAGAACCCAGTAGCAAAATTTGGATTTGATAGGTACAACAGGCAGAAGAACGAATCTAGTACTATTACTTGTAACACTGATTGGGTTTCAACACTCACTAAGGCTTTGAAATACATGCACTAAGCCCTAGGTAATAGGAAAACGTAGCATTGTCCCACAAATCATGTTTCCATTTGGTACGAGCTAATTGTTGGTCTTGTAAGTAAAGCAGACTGTATGAAGCTGTGAATCCAGTCTACAACAAGGTATTGTGCATGTTGGTGGTAATCCCAACATGCACATGGGCGTATTCGCCTGGCATGAATTATGTTTACTAGTCAAACTAAGTCAATCTTTAAAGGGAAACTACTATCTTTAGTTGCTTTGTGACCATTTGCAGCCATTTATAGGTTATAGAAACCCAATAGCGATGAAATAATCACAAGCAGGTGCAACGACGAAACTGAAGTTTCGTTTGGCACGAAGAATTAATTACAGAGTTATGTGATGTTCGCGTAAATCATGATATTGGTTAACAAACATACACATTTTATTTATAGTAATATAGCATTTTAAAACAAGTATTTTTAGGCAAACGCCTTCGAATTATTAGACTTAAACCTTCATCACTGCACTTCATGCTTGCGAAAACCAAAACTATTCTGAAGATAGAATACCACAAGCAATAAGCGGGTGTTATCAATTCATAACAGCTGTTAATACGCCATGTGGACGCGCCCAGATCGTTCGCGATTTGTTTGAGGAGCATTTGGGGCAATTCTAAAGGAAGATACGGCCATCTAAGATTGCCAGACATGGTTACGGGATAATTTTTACTTTATATTTTTTATTAACTAATAAATTTAAAAAAAAAAACAGAAGAAGAAATTTAAACAAAACAAGAAATAATTTTCACTATAAGAATATCAGATTAACAAAAGTGAAGAAAATAATCTCATAATTAACTTCGCAATTTTTTACAGATCAGGTCATGCAGTTACTTATCTTTCTTTGTCAATTCTTTTTTAGATTATGCTTTTCCTGAATAATTACCAGTAAAACTTTATAAAAAAATAATTTATTAATGGCTTTTGTAAGTTAACTATGTCAGTTTAAAACTCTATTAAGTGCTATAAGTTGGATTAATTTTCTATATTTAAGTTTCCATTTTACATTTTCAGTAAATATTTATTAGTTAATAAAAAATATGAAACTAAAAATTATCCTTCTTTCTATCTTGCGCTCTCAGTCATTATGCGAGTATCCTTTTACAATCATTAAAACCTGAAAAACGCATGTCTGCGATGCTATCGTCATGCACTGGTTATCGTTATTCTTTACCGCAATATTTTCCATAAAGATGTTTCTAAACTGCGAAGTTTTTGACGACGACGTATTTTCGACGACGATATTTTGTACACAATGTTTTAGAACTGCGATGCTTTATTTTCTCCGACGATGTTTTGTACCACGACGTTTTCGTCTTGCGTTGTTTTCTCCGAAATGTTTTCGTCCGCGATGTTTTTGCTGCAATGTTTTCTGCGAACACCGCCATACATGGAACCTGTAGAGCATATTTAGAACATGATCTACAAAACCGTTCATCTACAAGACTAAATATCTCCGCCTATCAGTTGAGTCTGTGCTAAGTCAATCTGCTGCACTTCATTGAGCTAATGAAGGCCCCATATGATTAGAAAAGATCTGATAATTAAATGACGATAAAATTAAATAACGATAAATAAATATATGATTATTAAATAGCTTATGATACTGGAATCCTCAAAGCGACGCAGTTATTTTAAGCAAAGAATTCAGTTCCGACCTTAACACGCCTGTTTCAAACTTTTCTGGCATAGAAACTGTAAGAATTAGATTGGTTGATACTTAGCACAACAATTGCTTAAGTAACAGAATGCAAGATATTAAATTCACTCATCTCACATTTCATTACTCTTTAATATACCTGAAGTAGGAAAAGGAAAAAGATGCCTTTCATTCCTTCGAAAAGCGAACTAGGGATAAACCATGGAATAAAGTAAATATTCGAACTGCACACTGCAGATATAGCAACTTGAGTTTGATCAATGACACAATGAGCAAACGTAAGCTACGCCCACAATGAAGATGTCACATGTTTAGAAAAATCATTCCGTAGACAATGAATATTCACTATTTTTCCAATATTATATTTTTTAACAACTATCACAAATGTGTTTAACTATTCATCAGCCTAACGATAAATGATTTTTGCTGAAACTCCTGATTAGTCACTTCTCTGTCTTTTTTTTATGTTAAGATTCAATTTTTTTTTTTTTTTTTTTTTTTTTTTTTGATTCAGATTTTGAATTACTGTTTTCTTCTCACCCAACTGTTCGAAAACTGGTTCAATTTTTACATCTTAAATCCATTCAATAATTTCAGTTTCAGAAAACGAAAATAAGAAAATTTCGAAGGAAGACTTTTCAGTAACTCAGAAGAAATGGTCACTGGATATTCAATAAT